ATTATAAACCTTTAGCCGTTCTAGGGTTCATTTACGTCTTTAAGGAACTCTAGAACCCTAAACCCCAAACCCTCCGTTCATTTACGTCTTTAAGAAAATTTAGAACTTCGCAGGAGTCTCCAAGATCATCTGCAGTTTGGCTTCTTAGCCGGCTGATGACCCTGGAAATCATCACTGGATCTTGTCTTCTTCCACAATCGCTGAATGGGCGGTGTAGGGAGTAGTGTTTACCCAGACCCCCGGGAGGATCCAAAAAGTAGATCCCTTCAGGGGGGTTCCGATAAAGTACCCTTAATTGTATAGGGCCCCACATTACGGGATCTACTTTCTAGATCCTCCCGGGGGTCTGGGTACTGGGCGGTGTAGGGATTAGTGTTTAGGTGGGTGCCTGTTAGGAACGAAGGAGAGAAAAGCGATCCTAAGTAATTATGCGAAACCCACACCTCCAAAACAACAACAGACACAGGAAGGACGTCAAGATTCAGAACAATTTCCGTAACACATCGGCTGGAATCTGTGCTTGGATTCCATTTCGCCAGTACACTGCGCGCTGCTGAGATCTTGAAAAACTTGCCGGCCAGGAACCTCTCTCTAGCAACATGCAAAATACGTATCCAGTCCAGTCCCTGATTGGAATAGCGTTCAACACGCAAAGGCCTATTGCTTCTTTGAGTCGCCGCATCCCACGTGCTGCAAGCTTGAGGTGCCGAAGTACACGAAAACTGACTTCTGGGTGGAAGCCAGAAGACACTTGGTCCAGCAAAGCCCTCGGAGCCGTAAAAGCTACAAACCGCAACCCTAAACCCTGAACCACAGACCCGATACCCTAAAACTCTAAACCCTAAATCACTATAGATCCCTTTAAAGGAACCCTCATAGATCCCTTTTGAAGGACATCCCTAATATTCCTTTAAAGGACACCCCTGTAAGCCTCGATATCAGGGTGCTAGGTGTCTCCTTGGGAGGGTGCGGAATTTCCTAGGCAGAGCCCTTAGGGTTTAGGGTTTAGGGGGTAGGTATTAGGGTTTAGGGTTTAGGGTTTAGGGTTTAGGGTTTAGGGTTTAGGGTTTAGGGGGTAGGTAGACTATGGAAGCAGTATTACAATTCAACCTAGATGCCGACCCGTAGTACACCAAAAAACGTCGATTGGTTGTAGACTTTGTTGGGTCAGAGAAGCACGGCTTTCTGAGTTGGACCAGCTGCGCGCAGACATCGAGCTTTGCAGAATCCAGTCAAATCCACCACGGCGACTTGTTAGCATTCAGAAACTCAGGCATCAGCAATCGTTGGCATCTGCAAAGAAAGGAGAACTTAGCACTGCACATGCTTGTTGGAAGACAAGGCTTGTCCTCAGCTTTCGACATCGAAGGAAACAGCATTTGCCAGTTAAAGCTTCAATGTCAAGCTGCAAGCCTGACTGCAGCAGCAACTGCCGCCGTGGAGGCCGAAAAGCCAGATCGAACGCGGCCCTAAGCCCTAAACCCTAAACCGTGGCTCTGGACCAACTTCAAGTTATCCATGCGCATTCTTCAAATGCGTCCTGTAAACCCACACCCTACACCTCCATAAACACTTCTTCAGGGGTTGTCTTCAGGGTTTGGGATTTAGGGCTTACCCTAAGGCTCCCAAAGGGGTCATGGGCTTTCTCGGGGAGGGTTTGGGCTTTGGGGGCTGAGGTTTGGGATCTCACTACGAGGGTCCAGGAGCATTAGGGTAGGGCTTAGGGTTTGGGGTTTAGGGGGGAATTTAGGGCTTAGGGCTTAGGGTTACAATTGACCCCCTGAACCCAAAGGATCCCAAGTACCTGTATGGTAGAATGTAGGGTTTCTGTACAAGGAATTGCTAGGAGGATTAGGAAAAGAATCCTTCATAGCAGTACCTGGGGCCCTGTGGGAAACAGGAAACCTTCATTGCGATCATTGCCTAACAGAATAAGGTCATTCGCTGAGGGTACCTTCACACCGAATATACAGGCCTTTGGTGTACTTTAGCATGCTTACGAAACAGGAACCCCCAGGAACACGTATTAGTTTCTATTCAGGCTTCTGTCTATATTGCCCCTGGGCCTGCAATCGGTTTAGGGTTTAGAGCTTGCTACTGGCTTATACGGGCCGTAGGGTTTGTACGGTTTTGCCCAGACCCATCCAACATCCCTTCATAAGGAATATCCCCTAAATTAAGACCCCCGACATGAGTTAAGGGTTTAGGGTTTAGGGTTTAGGGTATTTTGGAAGGTACGGCTTCAGGTCAAGATGAGTGTGTCCGACCTGCCTCTGACTGTGCAAAGCGCCTGGAAAAACGCTCTTCCAAACATCTGGGCTCCTGCTATTCAGCATGCCTTGAAAGTCGCTCACTGCTTTTTCAAGGGTCATTTCCCGAAGCGGAAGGAACTCAAACACTAAGCCGAGCCATGCCAACCCAAAACCAATAATTCTGAACGGCTGCCGGCACCCGCACTACTTACCCAGAATGCAGGTTGTCCAGCACCCTTGGGATGCAGGGTTTAAGCTCTGTGGCTAGAATCACTGAGTGCCATGTAGGTCGATGGCGTGGACACCGCTAGACCTTAAGGACCAAATGACCCTTAAAAGTGAGGGCACTATGCCCTTATAGCATGAGTCCCCCTAGCTGGTATATGAACCTTACACCCTTTTACGGTTCATTTCGTCTTTAAGGCAAGCTGCCGTGGCAGCAGAAGCAGCGACGGCTTACTGTAAGAACTACTGACTGAATCCTAAACTCCTGAACGCTTGGGTTTGGGGCTTAGAAATCCGGGCGTGGGTTTGTACGGTCCAGGGTGCTTTTACCTTAAACCAACCCTACCTGGACTAGAAAACCTACCGCTTTGGGATATGAATTCCTCATAAAAGTCCTGAGAAAAAGTAGGTTATTTGAGCTTAAGGTAGTCCCTAAATCCTGACCTTCAGATACCAGTATGTGGCTATCGCCTTATGCACGCAGGGCAGGAGCCATATCTCTATCAGGGCACATTGGGCCCTGGCAGAGCATGTGATCTTCACCCTCAACGGGCAGCAAGGCTCCGGCTTCTGTTATTAAGGTCTTGTACAGTAAACCCCATAAAGTTGGAAACCCTTCCAGGGTTCCTTAATGATACGGATCTTCTATAAGGGTACGATAGGGTTTAGGTAGGGTTTAGATAATGTTATGCAGTAAACCCCATAAAGTTGGAAACTGGATTAAGGCCAAATGGTGCTGGGATTCCCTATACATTGCTCTTAAGGATGGAGGCTCTGGAGCTTCCAACTTTTGGGCTTCTACCGTAGCTTCTACCTTAACCTACCAAACCCTTGCTTTTTGTAGGTTCTTATTATAAACCCTAATATGGAAGTTATAGGGACCCCCCACTTTTTTGTAGGTCTTCTAGGCTTCTATTTACATGGGTTCCACACGACGATTTTTTGGGTCTTAGAAGGCCTTTCCGCCTTTTTTTTTGGGGCGGCAAGGCCCGAAACCCGAAACCCTGGACCTCAAACCGTGGCTTGTTATCGACCTGTGGTGATTGATACTTAACAACCCTAAACCCGAAACCCTAAACCCTAAACCCTAAACCCTAAACCGTACGCCTACAGCCCGGAAGCATAAACTGCCTAAGCCCGAAATCCTGAAGCAAGAAATGCTAACATTCAGTAGACCCGCAACTACCCCGCATTTTTGGTCACCCAATGCTCAGGATCAGAAGTCTCTGTATGTATGTATGTATGGATGTATGTATGTAAACCTGTGCATACATATTTGCATCCATACAGAAAGCGGTATTTAAATTATATACACATATGCATATATACACATGTACGTATGTGTGTGTAAAGTGAGTGTCTGTGTGTGCGTTTATATTTGTTGTATGTAGTGTACAGGTATATACACAAAAAGGAGGTATAACGGTATGAAGGACAACTGATCACGGGGATTTGGAACGGATCCTGCACGGTTCAGGGGGACATTTTAAGCTTACCTGTCCAGCAACCCCGCATGTTAGAGGTTAAGGGCTTAGGGCTTTGGGATATGGGAGTTTTCATCCAAATATAGTACCCTACATAGTAGGATCCTCATGATAAGGACCCCCATATAAGGTACCCCTAATTTTCGGAAACTCCCATATAGGGATTAGGGTTTAGAGCAGTTTTTTGGGAATTCAGGGTTTCGGACCCTTTGAGTTTCGGAACCTTTGGGTTTATAGCGGGTCATAGGGTTTAGGGGTTTAGTGCTTAGGGTTTAGGGGTTTAGGGTTTAGGGTTTTGGGGTTTAGGGTTCAGGTGTTTGAAAGCTACTCCCTGGACACCTCACGAGATCATAAGCAAGACTTACTTGCCCAACACCCTTGGAAAGATGCATTTCAACGTTTGAGCAAACGCACACCTAAGCAAGCCTTGCGCCATCACGGTCCCGTCGGACCTCTCCAATCTTGAAAGTGCTCCACACTACAGCTCGCACGAGCGCAGGCATTGGCAATCCGGGCCCAGATATTCAACTCTGTTCGGTGTTACCGATTTATGGTTTTGGGTGCAGGGTTAGTTCAAGTATGCCCTACCCTACATCTGCAACCCCGAAACCGGTTAAGGATAGTACGGTATAGTAGTGTAAGTTAGCTATTGGGAGAGAGGGGTTTAGGGTATACCCTAATGCTCCTGGAACTCGTAGTAGCCCTGTGTGGTATCTGATCCTTAAACCCTTTTAGTGTTGCTTTCGTCTCTAGTTATAAGGTGCAAGAATCCAAACTATAGGGGCCTGAGCAATTATAGCAGGGCTTGGGGGTATATCCTACTATACATACAAGAAGGAATCGCCAGAACCCTATTCTGATTATTGAGGCCCCTAAATTACACTCGTATAGCACCCCTTAATAGTATACTTTAAAGGAGCCCTCCTAAACCCTAAACCCTAAGCCCTAAATTAAAGGAGCCCTTTAAACGAGCCCAGAACCCCTAGTCTGATTGTTAAGGTCCCTACATTACGGGCCTGACAGTCCGTGGCCAATGCTCTCAGCGCGGCACCGACTTGGATCTTCGACGATGCTCCCGGGGACAGGTGTCGAACCTGTTTTTTTTTGCGTTTTTTGTCGAACCTGTTTTGTTTTTTTTTAAGGGCTCCTTTCGAACCTGGGGTTTAGGGTTTAGGGTTTTGGGGTTGAGGGTTTTAGGGTTTAGGGTTCAGGGTTTAGGGTTTTGGGGTCGAGGGTTTCGGGTTTAGGGTTTAAGGCTTGGGGTTTAGGTGTTTGGGGTCGAGGGTTTCGGGTTTAGGGTTTGGGGGCTTCGGGGTTGAGGTTTTAGGGTGTCGAACCCGGTGAAAGTCAGCTTCGTTGCGCGTAGATCAACGGTTCGCAATACAATCCTATAAGCATAGATGTTAAAGGGGTAAGTATTTTGTACATATTTTGAAATAGTTCCGAACTATAACAGAACAGAATAGTTAATTCCGTAGAATTGTATAGTGGCAACCATTTCAGCATCTTCACCGAGTTTAGTGTACTAGAGGTTGGCCTTTGGGCCGGGAAGTATCCTACACGGCCTTGGGTTTAAGTTGCTTTTCTAGGATACCCAGTAACCTAAGAATAAAAAGGCCTCTCTTTTTGGTATTGGGTAACTTTATAAGGAACCTAGGACTACAAAAAGGGAATAAGCGTACTACTGGAGATCCTAGTTGTGGTTGAGGGGCAGGTGTTCGGGGCATTTTGGTTTAGGGGTAGGGGCTTCAGGTTTAGCCAGGCATTGAGGTCGCAACGTTCATGCATACAACCGCACCACAGTAAGCCTTAAAAATACGGCTGCCTTTTTCGCGAGTAGCCGGTCTGAGTAGGAATGCATGTGCAGGTGCCTACTCCGCGAAATGTACCCAACTCCATACTAACAACAACTATCATAAATAACTACGACCAGTCTAGATGAGCGATTCTGAGTTTGGTACGTGGGACCTGTTATCCTAATGTTTTGATGTGTGGCCAAGGTTACCGGATGGCACTGAAGTCAAAGAACCAACAAAAACGGACCATAACTTTTCATATTCCCGTGCCGTTAAAGTAAATGTGCAGGAACCATATTCGAACTGTCTTGGGTTGACTCTGGCAACCTGCTGACTGCGATCCTCAGCCGAAGGACACTAAACAAATCTCCGTTGGGCGGTGAACACCGAAGATTAGAGACTGCCTACCTTAAGGCTCCCAAAGGGGTCCTTTAAAGGGATCTATAAGGGTTTAGGGTTTCATTAGGGCTTATACAGGGTTTAGGGTATATGCAGGCTTTAGGGGTTTAGGGACTACCCTAAGTTTTAAGGCTGCCAAAGGGGTCATGGGCTTTGTGGGGGAAGGGTTTGGGCTTTGCGGGCTAAGGTTCGGGATCTCACTACGAGGGTCCAGGAGCATTAGGGTAGCCCCCCAAAACGGGCAACAACCGAAAGAGCTACCCAGGCCAAGAAGCTGGATGAAGGTTCGGACGACCTTGGCTGCTGACGTACATGGCGCTTCGGGTATGGCAATAGGAATACCCAGAGCATCCTAAGTACCTATATACCCCACAGGGTTCTGATACCAGTTTAGTGGAAGGCAGGTTTGTCATAATAGGAACTAGGATGCCCAGTAACCTAAGAATACAAAGGGCTCCCCTTTTGGTACTGGGTACCTAGGATTACAAAAACGGAAAAGGGTAGCACTGGGCATCCTACGGAATTATCATTGTGGTTTGGGTTAGCATGCCCCATATAGGTACTTAGGAACCTTTGGGATAGTACAAAGGAAGGTTTCCATAATACATCCTACTTCGAACACTGAGGGTCTTCGGTTTGCCTAACATGCTAAACCCATAGGGTCCTAAGAACATACAAACGCTTCATGCCAAATATACCATTGTTTTTTGTTGTCTTGGGGGGGGGGGGGTCCTTCTTAGGGTTTGCTTTTTTATGGGGGATACTTGCTTAAACCATAATTGCAATGCCTGCTACAGGAACCCTACTTTGACTTTCTGCTCTAGAGATACTTAAGACCCCTCGAGTAACCACAGTCCGATGTTTGCAAGTCTATGGAGCAGCTGCACATTCATTGGCACAGCCAACCTTGCGTTTTGCAATTCACCTTTCCGATGCAAAGTACCGCAAAACCAAGACGTGGCCATGACGGGCGCTGAGACGCTCCACCAGAGATTTGCACATGTAGAAGGCGGTGACGTTTGCTACATACAGCTCCGGCAGCGTTGTTCTGGAAACTCAGAAACTCATGGTCGCCTGACATTTTCCACAGCACTTCCAGCAGCCCCGCTTTTCGTGCGCACCGATATCCATTGCGAGCAGGTGTCGAACATAGTCATCAGGAGCAGTTCCGTGCAAGGCGCGTCAAGGTGGGCACGCAAGCCGCTGTAGTGGAGTGGGCAGACCGCTGATAGCGCTCCGCACACGTAGTTCCCGAAACGACGAGTTTCAAGGAGTCGCATGCTGTAGTTGTTGTCGGAGATTCTCTCGGGTCGCCGCATAATCCCTTCCCCCTAATATTAAAGGACCCCCCCTCCCCCTGCCTTATGTAAAAACTGGATTTCGGAGGTTTAGTTTTTATATTAGGGGGGTTTCGGTTCGGTGCATCCACGTACACGGACTCCCAGCTGCTAGCTATCCTAAGCCTGGAGCCTTGAGGCCCTACTAAAGCCCTAAGCCTTAAACCTCGAGCCCCAAACCCTAAAGGCCTGAGCCCTAAAAAATTTTAAGCCCTAAAGCCCTGAGCCCTAAAGCTTTAGCCCTGAGGTCTAAACCCTTACACCCTAAAGCTCTGGTGTCTTTAGTACTGCTGTAATCTTTGGCTCTATAAAGCCCTGAGCCCTAAACCCTTAAAGCTCTGCTGTCTTTAGTACTACGGTAGTCTTCCTTCAATTAAAACACATACAGATCTGCCACCACCCTAATGTTGTCCCTTTTAAATTGAATGTGGGGCCCGAAACCGCGAAATTCCGGGGGCCGGGAGTTTTTATATTAGGGGGGGGGGGGGGTTGAGTGTTAGGGGGAAGCGATTAAACTTTAAAACATAGCAGCAGAACAAACGCATCCAACGAAGCAGCCCCTCAACCCTAAACCCTGAACCTCGGGAGAACCCTACAAGAAGAGAGCCCTACAAGAAGGCGGGGAAGCTGCGGGCAACTCCACTTTCTCGGACAGCGCCCGCTCCCAAGTACCTGAGTGGCTGCGGGTTGTAGAATTTGTAGGGCTCGGGGTTTACAATTTGTAAGGTTTGGGTTTTACCCATAGGCTCCATAGTAGTTCCTTTTGGGGATTACCTCTTAGGATATTAAATATGAAACCAAACAAGGAACTACTATGGAGCCTATGGGTATGTACCTGGGAGGTTGTGGGTTGTAGAATTTGTTGGATGGCGGATTCGCAAAGGGCCCTAAGGCCAAAGTACTTAAATAATGATTACAAGGAAAGATCTCTACAGGAGGAGTAACTACTGTTGATGATATAAATCGTGCATGCCCCATAATAAGGAATATACCATAATTCCCATATACTCCTTATTATGAGTCATGCAGGATTAATATCATCAACCGTAGTATGGTTCGGGCAAGTATCCCATATCGTTACTTAGGACCGCTTGGGATTTATGGGTTTTAATTTGAGATTTCCAAGCTGCACGCTTTGCGGGATCATTGGTGGGAGTAGGGTGTATGATCTACGGCTTAAGGCGGTTAGTAGTTTGCTGTACTGGCTCCATTCTGCTACAAGTGTTGTGCTGACCGGTTTTACCCGTCTACATCATACTTGGAGGGGCAGGGGACTCAGTAAGTAGGTTATGAGTAGGGTTATACTTGGGGTAACTCCATTTAGTGTATACTTATAACTCTACTTGCAACCTACTTACGAAGTCCTCTGCCCCTCCAAGTAGACCCTAAGCCCTAAACCCGAAACCCCATAGATCCCTTTAAGGAACCCTATAGATCCCTTTAAGGAGCCCTTTAAGCGCCCTTACTAGTTCCCATGATCCTCTAAGTATCAAACCTATACACCTTAAAGGGACCTTATGAAACCTCGAAACCCTTAACCCTTAAACCCTAAGCCCGAAACCGCAAACCCTAAACCCTAACTTGAGCATGCAGTCACCCTAAACCCCCAAGCCTAAACCCCAACAGCCCTGAACCCTAAAGGCACCTTATGAAACCTATACACTCTATATGCAGTCATGATACTATCATATAAAGGGACCGTATCAAACCTATACACTCTCTCTCTCTATATATATATATATATATATATATATATATAACTACCCCTAAATGCAGCGCTTATACTAGCCCTTATAGTCACTCTTATAGACCCCTTTGAAGGCTACCCTTTCCACCCTAAACCCTAAACCCTATACCTTATAGACCCCTTTAAAGGAACCCTTTAAACGAAGCCTATAATTCCCTTTAAGGAGCCCTGTAGGAACCCCTTACTAGTCCCATCCATGATACTTGCGGGACCCAGATCGCTGCTCGGCGGCCCGCCCTGGCTCTCCTGTGGCAGATGCCGGGGCTTTCGGTGGGCGCCCTCTTGGGCGTTCAGGGTTCCTTTAAAAGGATCTATAGGGTGTATGGGGTTCCTTTAAAGGGATCTATAGGGTTCCTTTAAAGGGATCCTTTAGGGTTTAGGGCTTTAGGATTAGGGTTTAGGGTTCAGGGTCGTACTTGTCGGGTATCATGGAGAACTCGGTTTAGAGGGTTTAGGGAACTAAAGGTTAACCGTTTTGCTTATATAGGGATTCCTATATAGGGACTAATTATACTGCTTGTCAAAGGGTTCTCTTGCGTTCAGGGTCCTACTTGTCATAGGGTTCCTTTAAAGGGATCTATAGGGTTTAGGCGTTCTAGGGGTTTTAGGGGGTCAGAACTCAGAGTTCCTACGGGAACCTATATAGGCCCTAAGGGGTTTCGGGATTTAGGGTTTAGGGTTTAGGGTTTTTGGCGGACACCCCAGACAAACGTGCGCGGCCAATTCGCATGCGGTTCCAGAGGAAAAGCGCACTTGCACGCGCACCTCAAAACGAAACGGTGAGAAAAAAAGCAGACACAAGTCTGCTGATGCTGAAAAGCCTAAGAGACAACCCCCGTCCCGGTTTCACCGATCTCCGGGTTTAAGGTTGCCCAAAAGGGCTGAGGGCCAGCAACCGCGGTTGCCGGTCTCCACGCGTAAGAACCTGACGTGGGGGCAGGCGCCTCAGGACAGATATCAGACTCGTGGTATGCGGCAAGGCAAGGCTTCGAACGGGACAAATGTTCGGTCAACCTCCGCAATGTCCAAAACTCGCGGGAGCAGCGCTGGCAGCTTGTGCCGAAGGCACTCTGCACCGCAAGGGTGCGGCACTTGTGTCGTCGCGCCAGGTGGACAGTGAGCTGCCTATATGAGGCGTAAGAGTTGCTGCACTGTGGACAAGCCCAGGGGAGTCCTGGTCCGCCGGCAGCTACGACTGTCGCCACATCCGGCGCCTCACGCGCGGCGAGCAGGTTGCGGTCGAAGCTGCGTCCCTTGCGACGTTTGTGCAAGAAATTTCGGCACAGTCGCGAAACAAGACCGCGATCAGTGCGTAGCACCTTCCGCAGGTCTGCCACATCCTCCGGCTTCCGGCTCAGAAGACCGAGGGTGAGGGCAGCCTCGATCGCACGTTCCCACCAAGAACCGGTGGAGTGAAGGCAGCGCAGCACCTGCCACAAGCCTGCGCGTGCTGCCTCTGCCAGGGTCCTTGCTCTGTGCGTGAGCAGCAACTCTTCGGGTGAGGGCAGAAACAACCTCAAGGTTGGTGAAGCCTGTGCAGGACACGCCCAGAATGGGGCGAAATGCTCCGCGGTACATACGGTAGATGGTGTCTTCAAACTTGGCCCGCTCACGTGAGGTGGCAAGGACCAGCAGTCCTGCCCCGTGCAGAAAGCAAGGGAGAATGCGAGACTTCAGGAGTCCACACTTTTCGACCTCGGTGAGAAACGGGTTTGAAAGAAGTCGCCTGCGGATGGGCCTGTAGAGGAGCATTGCCTGGCGCTCCCTGTGGAAGAGACCCGGAAGATCACTGCCATCTGCTCGGAGGACACAACCAAGGTGAATGTACTCAGGGACGAGGCGGACACACTGCTCACCCTTGGGTCCGGGGAAGCAGATGGTGGGTTGTGGCGTGCAGAGCAGGTCTCGGCGCACATGCTGAGAGCCTTGGCCATGCACCACGACCATGGCCTCGGTTTTGCCTTCCCCGAGGTTAGCCTCAAGCCCCTGGATGTTCATGCCGTGTGTGACCCCGGTCATGATGGTGGCCACTGCGGGAGACACGTCCTCAGGCCGGGAGGTTTGAAACAAGATACAGACATCGTCCGCCCAGGTCGGGGCCGACGAGTCCTCTGCATCAGCAGGTTGCCCGCAGCTGAAGGTAGCAAAGGCCTGGCATCCTTGCTCAGCCAAAGTATCTTCGATTGAGTGCAGGAAGTGTTGGAAGGCGAGGCCGAAAAGAAGATCGGCGATTGGCGATCCCGGGACCGTGCCGCTTTCTGCTTGCATTACATCCGGTGAGTCGATCCTGCCTGAAAACCACGTCCCATCTAGCTGTTTCCTCAGCAGGGTGGCCAGGACTGGCTGTTGGCGCAGGAGGTCAGGGACCGCGTGGTCACGGAGGGCGGCAATGAAGGCATCCTGTTGCCCCTGATCCGTGAAAAAGATCTTGGCCCTGTCCCGCACCCAGGCATCAGATTGAAGCTCCTGGGGGGACGCATGGAGCACTTCACGTGCGATGCTGTAGTAAGCAGCTCTGCAGTCCACGAAGATGGCTCCACCACAACCTTTGGTATGCTGCAAGTGCTGCAGGTGCGCACGGGCGCACAAGGCCGGGAGTGAAATGGGCGCTCCAGCAACTCCACCATAATGGGTGGCGGTCTTGATGCCGACGAAAGTGCGGTGGATCATGGGTCGTAGGGCAACCTGTGCAGCCTTTGCGGTAGGTTCCAGGAGCAAGACCGACCTGAAGCCTCCGAGTGTCGTCCCGTCCTTGCCAGGTTTGGGGACGGCGGCCGCCGCTCCGCCCTTCCACTGGAACGGAAATTTGTCGCGTACGGCAGTCTTGGCCAAAACAGGCCAAACTGCCCTTGCGCTCGCCATGGGATCAACCCGGAAGACTTCAGAAGGCAGCTTCGAGATGCCGGGTGCCTTGTGAGGCTTGAGGTGTCCGAAAGCAGCCGCTAGCTGGATGACACTAGGCAGCTGCTCGCCGTCAAGAGGCTCGTGGGCGATGTCAGGCTCGGAGGCCTGCGCCAAAAGGCTTGTGATGGGAACAGGACGTGCGCGCTCTGGCTCAGCAAAAAAGCGTGCGAACTCATCCATCACAGCCTCGCGGCCGGCGCACTCCCCGTCGGCAGTACAAAGGACCGGAAGGAGCGGGGGGCTTCGGAATTTGCGGCCTGTCCTGAGAACAGCTCGGAGCTTATGCGAGAACTCGCGTGGCCCCTGGTCTCTCGCATCTGCAATGGCCTTGCGGGCGAAACGAGCTCTGTCCTGTAAGATGGCCTTTGTGAGCTCGTCCCGGATCTCACGGCACCTGGTTGCATGCCATTTTTCCAAGCGAAGCTGTGTCTCCAGCTGGCGGCGTTCGCCCTCCGTGGCCGGCCAGTTGCTGACCGCTGCCTGGAGGCGCGCAGTGCGCATCTTTACAGTACGGAGACAACGACGGGCATGCCTTTTTTGGACAACCAGAGCAATGGTGCTCTCAGTGAGCGCCGGGTTGCGCGGCTTAGGGGGCGCCGGGGGCAGTGTCTTCAAGCAGGCATGCAGGTGGCGATGGATGAGATCCAAATGGCTCGTCGTGTCCGTACTCCATGGGATGGCAGGGAGGCTTGCGAAGGCGGCTTTGACACAAGCTTGGCCATGAGGCGTGCGCAGTGCCTCGGCGCTGACCCTGGGAACATCCGGTCTGACACTCGTGTCACAAGTGACGTTCAGGCTCAAGTGCACCGGGAAATGGTCGACATCGCAGTGTAGGTCATTAAGGCACGGGGTGTCCAGTGTAACCGCAGCAGGGCGCCACGCGCGCGGAAACAGGATGTAGTCCAGCAAAGCCGAGTGTCCGGTGGGACTGCGCCAGGAGGTCAGCGGGACACCAGTGTGGGAAAACTGCTGGCTGATGCCAGCCCCTGTCGCATGCGCAAAGTCTCGGAGGTGCTCACTGTTCCTGGTCTGGGCCGTCGCCTCCAACGTGTCCGGGTGGGCCGGATCTTGGACAAAGCGGGCGTTGGCATCGATGCAGGTTATGAGCACAAAACGTGGCGGGATCCTCCGGACCTGACTGTGCAAGTATTCCCACCATTCATCAATCTGCTCCGGGGAGCTAACCGCAGTCGGGGCATGCGCAACAACAATGGCCAAGTCCAGGCCGTTGACGCGAGTCAGGACAACCAGACACCGTGGCTTGGCACTCAGGATGGATACGGCCTGGCGGTCCCAGGTGAGGCCTGGTTGATTCGGGTTGATCCAGACCTGTGTGCCACCTGCACCAGCCTCGTCGCAGCTGGCACTGAGTACCCACCAACCTTGGGAATTGCTGAAACCGGACCGCTGCTCTCGGGTCTCCTGAAACCCCGCAAAGGACACGCTGTGGGCACGGAGACCCTTGGCCATGAGCTCATGCGCAGCAACTCCCTTCAGAGAAAGGACATTATAAGTAAGGATCTGCAGTGGCAACCGACACTGCTTGGGAGGCTGAGGGTCCCCAAGGAATCCAACGGGAAGCAGTGGCGGGGGTCGTTTCCCGATACGCTGGCAAGTATCGGCCCACGTGCCGTTGTCCTGTAGGGGAGGGAGCCCGGTACAGGCGGCCGTTGTCGCACAGAGCAACCACAGACGATCTGGCACGTACTCGCGAACAGCAGCAGTGAATGCAGAGATATTCCAGGGCCATGGGTCAGCACACCCCGATCGACCTGCCTGCTTGGCCAAAGCATCAGCAAGGTCATTGAGGCCACACCCCGAATGGGCCTCGACTTTGTGAAGAATGACCTGTATACCTGAGCAATGCGCAAAATTGAGGAGCCCCAAAAGTGCTCTGGTTGCCGGGTGGGACGGGCTGTCGCCACCTGCCGACGATATCAAGTCCAGAGCGGACTGGCAGTCACTGGCAATGTGGACGATCCTCGCGCCTGTGTTGCATGCAAAAGCGGCCGCGTGAATGAGGCCCTCAAGCTCGCCTTGGAAAGCGGATTCCTTGCCCACAGTGGCGAGATGCGCAGTGGCCGCATGAAAGCCTACTCTGCATACTCGGGCGCCTTGGCGGACCACAACAACTATGGCCCAGGAGGCGCTGGCGTGTGGCCCATAGTAGGAGCCGTCCGTGAAAATGAAGACCTCATCGCACCGGACCTGGGGGTCCCATAGCGGAAGGGTGTGCCAGGCAGTCGTAGGGGCCCGCAGGTCAGCCTCCAGTGGAGACAGGTCTGTGTACAGGTCGGCAAGGTTGTGTGAGCTGAGGCACTGGGCTGCTATATCGTGGTCGA